CCCGGCGCGAGTGGGGACTGCTTTAACCCCTGCTCACACTGAGTTTCGCCTCTGCATCTCTGCTTCCCTGCTGTTCCCCTCCCCCCAGCACTCTCTCTGTGGTATGGGGGAAGACTTTTTTTTTTCCTTTTAGCAGTCATGGTGAATGTTGTCAACTTTGTGCGTGAACATTGGGTCCACATTTTGTGTCCAATGGGATTTGTTATTGGTTGCTATCTGGACAGAAGGAATGATGAAAAACTGTCAACTTTTAGAAACAAGAGCCTTTTATTTAAAAGGTTAGTTTGACACAACTTTTTAACAAAATAATCTGCTTAATTCTGCTTTCTTGTTGACATGAATTATGTCAGGTTTTTATGTTGGCTACAAAGGAAAAAGGATTTTGTCCGATACCTTCTGTCCTGCAAAATGTTCAGCTCCTTGAGAGGTGCTCAGTGTTCTAAACTCCTATTTAAATTAGCTGGAATTAAGCAAGCTTGCAATCCTTCCCCATATTAGTGTCATAAGAATGGCTATACTAGGTTAGACCAGTGGTCCACCTAGCCCAGTATCCTGTCTTCTGAAAGTGGCCACTGCCACATGGCATATTGCCATAGAGGGAATGAACAGAAAAGGGCAGTGATCAAGTTTTCCAGTCCCAACTTCTGGTGGTCAGTGGTGTAAGGACTCCCTAAGCATGGGGTTGGCTCCCTGACCATCTTGGCAAATAGCTACTGAAGAACCTATTTTCCATTAACTTAATCCAGTTCTTTTCTCAACTCAAGTTATACTTGTGGCCTTCGCAATATCTTCTGTCAAAGAGTTTTACAGGGTAACAATGCATTGTGTAAGGAAACACTTTCTTATCTTGCTTTAAACCTGTTGCCTACTAATTTCATAACACATGGTTCTTGTGTTATGTGAGGGGGTAAAATAAACTTCCCTATCCCCTTTTTTTCCATACCAGTAATGATTTTATATAAACATTTATCATTTCCCCCATTAGCTGTCTTTTTTTTTTAAGCTGAACAGTACCAGTTCATTGATTCTCTCCATGCTAGGGGAGTCACCAGTTTAGTCCTCCTCTGCTCCCCCTGTTATCCCTTGGCTTGCCTGCTCCTCTGCCTGCTGGTGCCTTCTCTCTCCTCCCAGCCCAACCCTCCTCCATCTCCACTGGCAGGTTAGTGCATAGGGGAGCCCGGCCTCAAACTGTAGGGGGTGGGGAAAGATGCGGTACAAGAAGCGAATTGTGAGTGTTTCCGACCAGAATCCCCAGGCCCTCTGAATTTGCAACCCATGGACCAGGAGCAAAACGTAGCAAGTCCTGAGCAGTAGCAACGAATTCCACGTATGCAGGACAGAAACTGCAACGGGAGGAAAAACGGAGAGTAGCACTTTATGCCCATACACCGGGTCAGACAAAGGCCCCCCCAGCCCCGTGCCCAGTGCGGGTGCCCCAGGGGGAGGGAACAGAGCAGGGATCCCCAGTGACCCGCCCCCTGCGGCCCGTTCCCAGCGTCCTGCAAACAGAGCCGGGGGGGGGGGGGGCTGCCCGCCCCAGGCCGGGGC